CCCTAGGAGGTGTTAAACATTTGATACATGTAGACTAAGGTGATGTTTTAGGCTTCACTTGCTGATTTCACTACCTTGAGTCACTCATTTTTCCAATAGCTCTGCCGTCTGCTGTTGAAGCCAAGAACCCAAACTGCCCTCCACAGCTAGGAATGTTCTTAGGGGAATAAAGCAAGCTGGGAAAAGACATGAATTTCCATCTTAGACCTGCCAGAACAGATGCTCTTGTGTTCCATTCCAAGATGTAAAAGGCAAGAGGGAGGGCAGCTGTTGCTGCAGCCTTTGCAGCATCCCCAGGGATCCTGAGGTGGTGCACAGGGCCTGCCTCGACTCCTGCTGCTATTGGAAACAAAGTCCAGTTTCTCAGAGGAGTTGGACAAGCAGCTGCAAACGTTTCCTAAAAATGCTTTTCCGCCACTGCAACTAACACGTGGCTGGATAGAACTGTTACTCCTGTGCTGAAGAGCTGGAAGGGGAAGGCAGTAGGTGAGAGTCCTGCAGGGAAGTGATCTTTCATGGCAGCAGGAGGCTGACATCCAATTCCATGGCAAGGATGCCAAAAGCAGGTTATTTGCAGGAGAAGGATTTGAGGGCTGCTGGCTCTGAGGCTATTCCATAAAACCTGAGAGTGGAAAGAGCAGCAACAGCCAAACTGCCCAGGTGCTTAGAAGACTTTTAACAGGTTAAAGGTCTCTGCTGTCCCCTGGGACTAGTTTTGATCTCATATATGAAAGATCCATTATTTGTTTTCTTGCTTGAAACACACCAGTGAACAACTACACCACTCAGATCTGGGGCTTCGGGGGTCAAGCCACAAGCAAGGGAAGGGTCAGAGGTTCCAGGATGAACAAGGCTGTACAAGAGGCAGATGCTCAAGTGAGCAAAGTGAATTAATTGTGTTGGAATGCAATTCTAGTTAAAGTGCCTCAGAATATAATGGAAACTCTGATAGCAATCCATTGAAAGGGAAGCACACTGCACTTGTCTTCCCTAACGAATTCCATCAGGGTTCCCTCACTAAAAATACTCTGAAAATTAAAAGCAGAGATGCCTCATGTTACTTCAAAGTAGTGGCAAAGGCAGCATGGAAATGCTTATTCTTCGATGGCAAATTCTCTTGGGAGCAATTCCAGAGCCTTCAAGGTCTCCACTGGGAAGCTGCTAAACAAATGTAAATAGTTGGATTAAGTACAGCCCCACAGAAATCACAGTCCCATGGATGGAAGAGATGATCCAAGCAGCAACAGCAGCTGAAGTGCTTCCAAAACAGCAGCTTTGTTCTCAGCATTAGCTTAGAAGTTCTCTTCACACACTACAATAGAAGAATCATGCAATCATCAAGGCTGGAAGAGACCATTAAGATCATCAAGTCCAACTGAGTCCTTCCATCTCTTCTGACCTTTTGTACAGTACACAGGTGGGTTTAAATGTGATCATGTTCTTGAAACTTACTTATTTTTTAAAGTACCTAAACTTAATTTAACTACTCGTCAGTGGAGAACTTGATGTAGCTTCAGTGTTAATGACCTTCCCTGTTCAAACATAAACTCTTTGCAAGGCTCAAGGACATCTGTTTTCCACCACTAACTGCTGCCTGTCCTTGCCTGCTGGATTCAAGAACTGTTATCCCAACTTTTCCAGCGTAGATTTGTCTAACTGAATCTACAGTGCACCTCACCTCTCTGCAGTCCAAACTTCTTGAACTTTAGCAGCAGCTTTATACTTCCCAATCCTTGTAGTCCATCGCTAATCCCTGTCCAACTTGCCAGTCCTCTTCCTACACTGTTGACAAAGTAAATCATACAACATCAGTGGAGGAGAGACGTGGAGGAAGCACAGCCATTCACCACAGATCCATTATTGCAAATGCAAACCAGCATTTCAACCACATCCATTCATGTGCAGAATCTCCAGTATTTGTAATGTTACCAGGGATTTGTCACATTATCCAATACAAATTTGGAACGAGAAAACCCCATGAGCCTAGATCAGTAGGGAAGTTGGCAAGCCAAGCATCCACTGTACATCATCAAGGTCTCCTGAATTTCAATGCAACCATGCCAAACTGTGTCAGAATTTCCTATGCATTGGTTAAACTCAGCTGGTGTGGCAGTCAGACAATGAAAATCAGCATCCAACAAGTGTCCAAGTCCTACATGGGAAGATCTTAGGCCTCATTCCACTTTGGCAGTTAAAATAATCACAGAATCATGAATCACAGAATCATAGAATTTAGGGGTTGGAATGGACCTTACATATGATCTAGTCCCAACCCCCTGCCACCTCCTCACTAGGTCAGGTTGCTCAAGGCTTCATCCAGCCTGGCCTTGAACACTGCTGGCATCCACTACCTCCCTGGGCAACCTGTTCCAATGTCTCACTACCCTCACAGAAGAAAAGTTTTTTCTCACATCCAACCTAGACCTTCCCTCCTTCAGTTTGAACCCATTACCCCTTGTCCTATCACTGCAATTCCTAACACAGAGTCCCTCTCCAGCTCCTTGTAGGCCCTTCAGATACTGCAGAGTTGTTATGAGGCCTCCACACAGTCTCCTCCAGGCTGAACAGCCTCAGCTTCCTCAGCCTGTCCTCACAGGGGAGGTGCTCCAGTCCACTTACCAACTTCATGGCCTACTCTGGACTTGCTCCAACAGTTCCATGTCCTTCTTATGTTGAGGGCCCCAGAACTGTGTGCAGCATTCCAGGCGGGGTCTCACGTGAGCAGAGTAGAGGGGGAGAATCACCTCCTTTGACCTGCTGACCACACTCCTTTGGATGCAGCCCAGGATTCCATTGGCCTCTGGGCTGCTACTGCACACTGCAGCTCATCGGGAGCTTCTCATCCACTGTCACTCCCAAGTCTTTCTCCTCACTGCTGGTTTCAATTACTTCCCCACTCAACCTGTAGCTGTGCCTGGGATTGCCACGGCCCAGATGTTGGACCTTGCACTTCATAATGCCAACACTTACCATGAAAAAATAGTAAACTAAAGAATTCGACTGAATGTATTCCAAGATTTAGACTAATAATAACAGTAGTAATAATAATAACAACAATAGTAACTCAATCCTTTAAAAGCAATGAGCTTTGCCCTCAGGATCACTCAGGCTTTTAGAGCATTGAATACTATTTTTCTGACTATGTTTGGAAAAAAAACAACCCACAAAACAACAAACAAAACTCAAGCAATGGGCTTCTCTGCTCCCAGTTAAGACACTTGGTTAATTGTTGAATGCAAAGAAAATATAAACTGCTCCAGGCCTGGCAGGGCTGTGTTCTTGCTGCCTGTAAATCAAGAATTTCTACATATTTTATGCCAACTTTATCTTGTTAAAACTGAATTCTTCATATCTAGAGCAGATTTTTCATCCCATGTGAAAGCAACATGCTGCACATGCCTTCTGGCTACATCTTCCCTGCAAACCAAACCCAGACTGCTCAGCCTGGACTCAGACACAGCTCCTGCTGGCACCACACCAACACTCAGCTATGATGGAATTCCAGAAATGCCCAATAATGAGAATGCTTTAACTCCAAGAACTTCTGATGGTGCACTGAGGAAGTAATACATTACCTTCACAGGGAAAAAAACATCTCCAGAATTCAAATTGTATTTCTGCTTTTATTGAAATAAACTCAAAAAATACTTCTAGCCAATATTTACATATTTGATCCAATTACTCTTCAAATCCTCCTGGTTAATAAGAAACAGAATCTTAGAGTAATTATCAGAAGTTCTTACAATGAAGCATTGTACTTTTGGAAAGGATTGAGTGTCTGCTGAACATTTAACCAGTTCCCAAATCGAGGAGACACTGCTCCCACGTAGTATTTCCCCACTTCCCCTGAAGGCAGCAGCACTTTCAGGACATGAACTGCTTTCCAGGTACTGAAACCACTTAGTAATGTGTAAAAGGACATTTTATAAGCATGGCAAATCGCATCACTGATTTGAAAACCTGAAGACAGGTTTTGTAATCAAAGTTTCATTCAAGTCAGGACATAATTTTTCACGTTTCTGAAAACATTAGCACTGGAAAACTCTGATTTCCATCCCAGACAGTCTCCAGACAGATGGCTTTTGCAGGTAAATTCACTTTGCATCTCCAGTCACATATAACTAATGCATAAAATGCTCTAAATTCAAACCTTTTGTCTGTTCTTCCACATGCTGCTAGTCTGTCTGTGCTTCACTGCTCAACCAGCCATGTCTGCTCCATTCAGTCTCTCATTCTGGTGCTCGAGTGCCTGGGCCAGGACGATCTGTGTTCTCAGGTAAATACACTCCCATGCTCTGTAAGATATTGGAGGTGGGTCCAGCCAGCCCAGCCTGAGCACTGTAGGATTCAAGCAGGTTAGCTACTAGGTTCATGTCCACATCAACTGGTGCCAACTCTGTGTCTGCAGCTCCAGAATCAGGGACAGCACCCCGAGGTGTAGCTCCATTAACAGAACTTGCCTGTAGGAAGGACAAAGAGGAAGTTCCATCAAACTGTGTAAGCAGATTTAAAAACAGACAAGTCAGAAGAGAAAAGAAACACAGAAACAACTCCGCAGCCAAAGTCTAGTACATTCCACAGACACAGAATCACAGACTGTGTCTGCAGCTCCAGAATCAGGGACAGCACCCCGAGGTGTAGCTCCATTAACAGAACTTGCCTGTAGGAAGGACAAAGAGGAAGTTCCATCAAACTGTGTAAGCAGATTTAAAAACAGACAAGTCAGAAGAGAAAAGAAACACAGAAACAACTCCGCAGCCAAAGTCTAGTACATTCCACAGACACAGAATCACAGAATCAAGGCTAGACCTCTAATCTAAGGTCATTGAGTACAACCATTAACCTGTCACTGCTGTAACCCCTAACCCCTAAACCTTCAGCACCAGATCCAAACACCTCTTAAGCACCTTCAGGGATGGTGACTCCACCACCTCCCTGGGCAAACCTATTTCAATGCCTGGCCAACCTTGACAGGCAGGAATTTAGCCACCAAGGGCTCATGCCAGCTAAAAATCATCACTGCCCACTACACTGATTAAGTTCCAAGCACAGCACAGCAAGCATTGCTGAGTCTTGGCTCAGTTTCCTACCGGAGTAAACTACTGCAGGAACTTAGAAGTGAAGCTGCAGCTGTTGCCTTACTGCTAAACACAGGGAAATCAAAGTAAGTCTTGGGAAAGATGTGCAAATTAAAGCTCACGTAAGTTTTTGTTTAAAAGAAATGTGTTATGGTATACCTACAAGGTACATTTTGCTACCACTTGGGAAGGGTTTGTTCACATTACTCAGAACTGATCACTTTCAGCATGTTTCCTTTTTCCTAAGTTCTCAAAACTCCTATGTCACGCACTAGAGCTCAGGGCAAACTTACCCCTTTCTTTTGGGTGGTGAAACTTTTCCCAACATTGGTCTGTGCCAGCTCCTGGTCCATCTCCTTCATGTATGCCTTGAGGCTGCCTATGAGCTCGTTAGGTGATACCTTCTGGTCTTGCCTTTGATTTACAGCATCTAAGTCTTCATCAGCCTCATCTGAGAAATCAAACTCCTCCTCTTCATCCAGATCATCAGAATCCAGCTCCTCTGAGTCTGCCCCTAGGTGTGACTGTGTGTCAGTACAAACAGCAAACAGTACAGTGATTTGTTTCAAACAAAGAAACAATCTCACCTAAAATTCTGTCCAATGCTTTGGTAAAAGAATCTACATCAAAGGTAACATGGGATTCATCAGGTGACCTGAAATAGAAAAGAGATTTTTAAATAAATAAAGCTTTTATATTTGCAATAAACCCAACACAGGCATAAGCCACATGGTACAGGGATTTCTCTCAAGCTTAAGTTAAAGGTGGGACATTTGAACTGGTGGTTGCAGAAGTGCTCAAAGGTTTGAAGCCTGTATGGATCAGAAAATGAAATAGTGAGTGGAAGAATTCTTGGCATGAAAGATTGTAAAGTCCACAAAACCAAACTAAGTTAGAGAGGGACAGGAAACAGCTCAGCTTTCAGCATTTTGACTTGCACTGGTGTTGGAGTGGTCCTCAGGTTGGTTTAAGAGCAACTACATACTACTCACATGAGCTTGTTTCAGGCCTCTGCTAAGCAGAACAGCTTCAAACCCTGATTCTTTGCAGCACAGGCTCAGCCAAAGGGCAGCAGCAGAGTAAGCACACATACTACACCAGACACCAAACTCAGAATTACTCCTACCATGGCATTTCTGCTCCTTCATGTGTGGAGACTTTGGACACAAAAGCCTTCATGCTCTCAGCAACTGCTTCCAAGTCATATTTCTGCTCTTCCTCATTTGCAGAAGGAAAGGACTCATTTCTTGTTGCCTTCAGCATCTGATCCAGAGCATCTGGTGTAATATCCAGCCAGCTGTCGTCTGAAGGAACACAGGGTGGAGCTGTTATTCTGCACAAGCCTGTCAGCCCACAGGGCCCAAACCAGAGAGCTGAGAGTGCTGCTGGCATTTTGCAGCTTATTTTTGCACTGTTTTCCTGCTGGTACTGTGTCACATGGGGCATAAGGCAGTGAGAGGCTGAGAGCTGAAATTTCATTTCACTACTTTAAAACTCTGCTTTATATGCAGCTTCAAACTAGGAGATATTCTAGTCACAGAGAATCCTTCTGCCACTAAATGAAGGCAGAAAGGCTTATGCTGTAAAAAGAAAGACAGTCCAATATTTAGTCTTAAAGAGGGTTGGCTCGGCTCTCCCTTTATAGCTGTGACCATTCCCCCAAGTAATTGTTTGTGATAGGAGTAATCCACCCCCCATCCTGCTCACCATCCTCTGGAGGAAGAGAAGCTGCTTCTCTCTCAAGTTCCTTCACATCGATGGGTGTTGTCTGCAGAAGTGCCAAGATTTCATCTCCTGGGCTCACTTCAACAGAGCTAGAAGAAAAAGAATTCAGCTTACTCAAATGGATTGTCACTAGCATTACAGTGCCAATAGCATCATGCATTCTACATGTAGGTTTTCACTCAAATCCTTCATCTTTCCTTCTGTGCACACACATCAAAAAGGTAAGTGAATTTGGGGCAGTAGCAGAGTACTCCACATGGTACTAGCCAAACTAAGACACAGTCAGTGGCTGTAATTCCTAAATCCAAATCCCATTTCTCATGTTTCCTTTTCTTTATATTTATTTTCTCTTGATAAATATGAAGATTGCCAGATCCCAACCAGCACAGCCTGCAAACTCAAAAAACTAACAGTCAGGATATTATGAGCTGGCAAAGCCTCAGATATTTTTGTCATGATTTATTTCTTGGATTTGATCTTCTGGAGCAAGCCAGAGCCAGCTGCCTGTCTTGAGCACAGGAGGCAGATTACTCTGTAGTTATTATTCACTGGGATTGCTTTTCCATTAAACTTTTATAGACTTTCTATAGTCAACCAAGCAAATAATAATAGTTTTCGGTCACCTCTTAACCCACTTGGAAGAGCTTAGCATTTTACAGAATCAAGATAAATAGTTACTCAAGCAAAAACTTCTACTAGCAGAAAGTATTCTAGAGGAGTTGATACCTGTGTGTCCCAGCCACAGCACCTATGTGAAATGTACAATGGACCTCATGAATTTCAAGCAGCTCTTACCTTTCTGGTGTGGTAACAGATTGCTGGAAGTAATCTTCTGCCATGTGCAACAGCTCTGAGTATTTAGCAGACCCTTCCATTTCTCCCTGTTTAATGAAGTCACAGACATGAATCCATTCAATCCTCCCTCCCCTTCCCTTTCACAGTCACTAATGATAACTATTAGTCACATAGAAATGCTGAGAAACCCACAAGTAAAACCTCTTTGCCATGTGCACTTGGAGCAGAATACAGGAAATGGGCATGAAGTGTTGGCATAAACACTAATTCCAGTCTCACACTGCAGTATCACATGGTGGAGACTAAAAACAACAAAGGACAACACTAAGATTCCTCCCATGGGGCAGATTTATCACACCCAGGTTAACACTGGACAGGAATTGTGAATGGACCTCTTGATGTTTGGGGATAATCCACAGCAGTGGCATAGCAGTCCGTAAGGATATTCCTTTTTTTCCTATTTTTTTATTTAAAATATATTTAAGTATATTAACCTAAGCATTTCAATGGAATTGTCCAATTTGATAACCTTCAAATAAGGTTGGCCAATTTATGGCCAATTCATTAACTT